ACTATTATAAATAATCATATAAATATGTGTCCTGTATTATTATATTGTTCCACCTTGCAAAACAAGCCCCAGACCAACACAGGCCCTATATTTCATTTGACAACCAGAATATACTTCTTTGTTTTTTTTCCTTTTGGTACCAGGAATCGAACTCAGGACCTTGCACTTGCCAAGCAAGTCATTGTGCCACTGAGCTATATCCCCAGTCCTACTTTTTTGTTTGAATATAAGGATCTTATATTCTTATTTTCCTGTGCCCAAGAACCATTTAATACAGTTTTTACTTATGTAATAAGTCTACAAGATTCAGATTGCAATATTTCAAGACTTCCACACAAAAGCCAGTGAAAAAAACTATAAAAATGTATAACTGGCAGGGCTGGACATTAGGAAGCAAGATCTTCCCTTTCTGCTCCAGCAGCTGTTATATGTTAATATTAAATCCAGTATTATTCATTATTCAGTACTTTGGAGTACAGCTAGTATGCTCTTGCTTCAGATAAGCCAGAAACACAGAGTGACTCTCAGGATTCCACAGGTCCTTAAGTAATGATTCATCTATTCAAACTATCCCACCCTCATTTCGCCTAATGACTAAGATCTCCTCCATTCTGGGGTATATAGAAGAATGAATCTTGGTTTCTTCTAACATAGTTTGCCCAGAGGTTTTTGGCCAACTATTCTTGAGTAAAGAATGACACAGTTCAAAGTATTCCAGAGAGTTGCCATTAACAGGTATTTTCTGTTTCTCTCTAATTCATTAAATGGGAAGCCAAAGGTCTGGGCTAAGGAAAGAGCAAAGTCCCTACTACATTCATAGATGAAAAATCCCTTTGACCGATCCAAAGCTCCTTGAATCAAAAGGGAAGCGCAGTACAGTACAAGGCCATTGCTTTTGTAGATAACAAATTGGTTCAGTCCAGGAAAGACTGCAGATCTGACAAGCGAGAAATGGTATGCTCAAGAGAAGATGAATTTTTACCATATTTCATTACAGGAGATCACGATGAAAGAAAAATGACTTCATCACTCCCATTCCAGGAGCCCTGGCCAGGCTAAGGATAAAAGGAAAAGGCCAATGGAGACGGCTTGCTGTCATACAAGTCACATCTATCAATCAAAGGCAGCATCAAAGAGGCGCCTGCAATCACAGCTGACAGTGGGTAAATCACAATTATCAAGACCTTATTAGCCACTGCCCTGGAGTTAAAGAGGGCTATTCGCCTCTACAGGGTAGCAATCAATTGCTTTGTATGGGCTACAACTTATAAGGCCAAGGTCAAGGTGCGGTGATAGGAAATTAGGTTAGATGTCATAAATCCTCCAGCACCAATCCTTCTTATCTGAACAGGAGGGCTGTAAACTCTCAACCCTAAAAAACAGGCCTGTGGGAAATATATCAGAGTCCAAAAACATAGTGACCTTTCTGATGGATAATACAGTATACGACAATAACTGAGAAAAGATTGAACTTTCTTTACTTGATAAGAAGAGAATTGAATTCACCCTGTCTTGACGCACATGGTTAATTCTTCAGACCGACAAGTGCTTATCAAAAAAAGAGGACATGGCTAGGCGCTGTGTCCCACTTCTCTAATTGCAGCTGCTTGGGAAACTGAGGCAGGAGTATCACAAATTCAAGGACAATCTGACTAAGGTGGCAAGACCCTGTCTCAAAATAAAATTATGAAAAGGGGAGGGAAGTAGTCCAGCAGTAGACCATTTGCCAACCTGTGTGAAGGCTTGGATTCAGTTTCAAAAAAAAAGAAAAGGAGATTTTATAGAAGAAAGGGTCGGGGCTGGGGATTTAGCTCAGCGGCAAAAGCACCTGCCTGGCAAGTGCAACGTCGTGAGTTCAGTTCCCGGTACCGGAGAAAAAAACAAAAAAAACAAAAAAAAAAAGATCAAATAGAAGAAAGGGTCTCTCAGGTTCTCTATTTCTCTTCCTCTTCTCCTGTCCTAAATGAGTGGAGAAAGGGTCACAAGTAGCAGATGCCATGAGATTGGCACTAATTATTTTCTTTTTTCTCTGTACCTAACTGTCAAAAAAAAAATTACCCTCCCCCCAAAACAACAGAAACAAAATGTAATTCTCAGTTTCTCAAATTTAAAATGTGTCCTACCTGTGTAGAATTGTCAGAAAATATCAACAACTAGTAAATCTAGATTAAGGCTATCTAGGTATTATTTGTACAATTTTCCCACTCTTCCTAATGAGTGAAAGTATTCCAATTAAAAAATTGGTAAGAGGCCAGGCATGGTGGCACACACCTGTAATCCTAGCACTTGGGAGGCTGAGCAGGAGGATTAATAAGAGTTTGAGGCCAGCCTGGGTTACAGAGCTCAAGGTCAGCCTGAACTACAAAATGAGACCCTGTCTCAGAAATCAAAAAACAAAAACAAACAAAAAACTTAGAAAGAAATCTTGTCATATTTGCTAATTTAGTAAAGGTAACTAGCTTAATTCATAAATAATTTTTGTACTCACTACATTTCTGTATATCTTAGAGAATAGTTACTTGCATTTTAATAAGTGGTTTCTTATTTTTATATACATTGAAATTTTTCTACCTAACATTGTGCTAATCACTATTAGCACCAAACTTTTTTTTATATTGATCACAACAAATTTTCAATTATCCTATTTGTTTGGAAACACAAAAAACTTTGAAAATTTTTTTTGTTAAAACATGTTTGCAGTACATAATGATTACATTCACTGAGGAGAGTTGATACAAGTACATAACACATCTTAATTCTTTTTTATCCCCTTTTCCTCCCTCCCCCTCTAAAAAATTTTTAAAAGGACAGAATTTAGTGTCATCTCTGATGAATGTCTTGACATGGTTGAATCAAGGAAGAAAACTTTATTGCATTGCACTGCATTGCATAACTTTAAACAATGTTATTTATCCTTAAACAATTGCATTGCATAACTTTAAACAATGTTATTTATCCTTAAACTTTAAACAAATATTATTTATCCTTATTGCATTGCATTACATAACTTTAAAAAGCACAGTTTTTATTTATTTATTTTTTTATTTTTGGTCTTTTTGAGACAGGGTCTCGCTATGCAGTTCAGGCTGGCCTTGAGCTCACTTTGTAGCCCAGGCTGGTCTCAAACTCACAGTGATCCTCCTGCTTCAGCCTCTCGAGTGCTGGGATTACAGGCATGCGCCACCACACCTGGCAAACACAGTATTTCATTAGGTCCATGAAAAAGGGTAGATATTTTTTTTAAATGAGTCTGGTTTAGAAGTGTCAGGAGTTAAAAATTGATTTTAAAACTCAGTGGACAAACTACCTCAAGTCCTCACTTCCAAAACAACAAAGAATGGTGCCCGTCTGTAATCCCAGCACTCGGGAGGCTGAGGCAGGAGGATCATTGTGAGTTCGAGGCCAGCATGGGCTACAAAGTGAGCTCAAGACCAGCCTGAACTGCATAGCAAGACCCTGTCTCAAAAAGACAAAAAAGAAAAAAAGAAAGAAAGAAAAGAAAAGAAAAGCAACAGTTGGCCAAACATGGCCATGGGCAGCCCATTCACTTCAAGAACTGTGTCCCATATGTGCCTTAAGGACAAGGCCACTAAGAAGCCACAGGTTCAACACACAGGCAGCAGCACCCATCAAGGGCATTTCCCTGGTAAGTATTTTTGATCCCCATATTCCTTCCCGGCTGTATTTGAAACTACATTACTATGTGAGTTGTGCCATTTATAGCAAGGTAGTCAGGAATCATTCACATGAAATCTGGAAGGACTGAACACACTCGCCTGGAGCTGGACCTACAGGTGCTGCCCCACAAGCTCATGGGTAAGATGCTAAGCCCTTAAGGACTGAGGAAAAGCTATCCTCTGAGAAAAAAAATACAGTGGAAATCAAACTTTCAAAAAAAGCCAGTGGGCAACACATAAGATGCTCAGTATCACTAATCATTAGGGAAATACAAATCAAAACTACAACAAAATACTACAGAACACCCATTTAGATGGCTACTGTCTAACAGAAAATGGTGAGGAGGTGATAAAATTGAAACCCTTGTGCACTGATGATGGGAATCTCAAATGGTCCACCCACTGGAAATCATATGGTTTTTCCTCAAAAAATTAAAAATAAAATTACTATATGATCCAGCAATTCCACTTCTGTATACCCCAAACAATTACAAACAGTCTCAGAAATATTTGCATACCTATAGTAGCATTACTCACAATAGCTTAAATGCAGAAGCAATCCAACTGTCTATTCATGGATGAATGAATAAGCAAAATATGGTTCCATATACAAACCATGGGATATCATGTGGTAATACATACATGCAGTGGATTATTATTCGGCCTTAAGAAGGAAGGAACTTCTGACATACTCTTCAAATGGATAAAGCTTGGGACTAGGGACTTAGCACAGCGGCACAGCGCCTGCCTGGCAAGCTCGAGGTCATGAGTTCGATTCCCTGTACCAGAAAAAAAAAAAAAAGATAAATCTCGATGACATTGTGCTAGATGAAATAATCCAGTCACAAAAAGGATAACTACTATATAATTCCACTTGTATGAGATCCTTTCAATAGTTAAATCATAAAGATAGACAATAGAATGGTAGCTGCTCGGTTGAGGGTAAGGCAACATGGGGAGCTGTTGTTTAATGAGTCTAGAGTTTTACTTTCATAATATTAAAAGGGCCAGGTGTGGTGGCGCACACCTATAATCTTGGGAGACTGAGGCGGGAGGATCACTGGGGTTTTTAAACCAGGCTGGGCTACATAGTAAGTTCAAGGCCACACTAAACTACACAGTAAGACCCTGTCTCCAAATAAATAAATAAGAAAGATGAAGATTGATGTTGGTGATGGTTGTACTTAATATCACTGAAAATATATTTAATATCACTTAAAAATAGTTAAGATGGTGTATGAGTTAGCTTTTTACCTCTGCGACTAATGTAAAAGTGGAAACGTTTTTAAAAATAAATAAATAAAAAATAAAAGCGGAAAAGTTTATCCTGGTTCACATTTGCAGAGCTTTCAGTCCATGAGCGGCCAGCTCCATTGCTTTTAGGCGAGTGGCAGGGCAGAAACATCACGGCGGAAGGACATCGCACGGCAACCAGGTCTTCCTGACAGCCAGGGGCAGAGACAGGAAGAGCCAGGGAATAAGGGGCCAGGGACCAGCACGGTCCCCAGGTCCACACTTCTGTGATGCGCTCTCTTCAGCTAGGTCTCGGGTCCTATTTCCATCATCTCCCAATAATGCCATCAAATTATGAGCTCTTTCGTAATCTGATGAAGTTAGAGCAGTTGTAAAAAAAAAAAAAAAAGGAGATTAGGAGATTTATAGGGATAAATGGTTACAATAAGAAAACAGAATGATCTTAAATGAACCACCTAATTTTACACCCCAAGGAACTAGAAAAAGAACAAACTAAGCCCAAAGTCAACAAAAAGAAGAAAATAATAAAGATCAGACAAGAGAAAAAGAAAATAGAGACTAGAAAGACAGCAGAAAAGATCACTAACATTAAACTAAGCTGGTTCTTTGATTTTCTTTTGTTTGTTTGTTTTTTGGTTTTTGGTTTTTTTTCCGGTTCCGGGAATCGAACTCACAACCTTGCGCTTGCCAGGCAGGCGCTGTGCCGCTGAGCTAAACCCCCAGCCCCTAAGCTGGTTCTTTGAAAAAATAAGCAAAATGGCAAACCCTTAGCTAGAGTAAGAAAAAAAGAGAAGAAAAATAAAATCAGAAACAAAAAGAGGAACTATTACAACTGATACCACGGAAACACAAAGGCTCACAAAAACTGCTATGAGCAATGAGATGCGAAGGAACTGTTTAAATTTTACAGCATATTGTGGACCTCTTCTCAAGTTATTTCAGATAGACCTGGCTCTTTCTTTTCAGTAATTGTGTGTACTGTCATTACCTATCAATCTTTACTGATGGGCATTTGGGATGTTTTCAGCTTTTCACTATTAAAAAACAAGGTTATAACTCATACATTGCTGATAGGAATATAAATTGGCATAGTAGAATCGATAAACAATCTGCTGTGTATATTCATAAAATGGAATGATATATTGAAATAAAAATGAATCTTATACCTATAGGTAACAGCAGGATTAATTACAAAAACACAAGCAAAAAAGGAAAGGCGGTATGTACAAAAAATATGTAAAGCATTTTCTACTTATATAAATTTGAAAAATAGGCAAAACGAAAGCATGGATTTTTTTTTTTTGTTAGTGTTTGTTTTTATGGCACTAGGAAGTGAAGGCAGAGCCTTGTGCTTCATCAGCAAGCACTGTGCCACTGAGCGACATTCCCAGCCCTTTTTCTCGTCTATCTTGGGACAGGGTATATCGGTCACTTTCCCATCACTGGGACAAAACACCCAACAGCTACAGCTTAAAGGAGGAGACACTGATTTTGCTTCACGGTTTCAGAGGGTTCAGGCCATGGCAAGCTGGCTCCAAGAAACAAATGGCATGACAGAGGAGAGCTGCTCACTCCACAGCAGCCAGGAAGCGGAGGGAGAAAGGAGGAGCTGGAGATAAGAGTACCCTTTCAGGCTATGCCCCCATGACCCACCTCTTCTAACCAAACGCCACTTCCTAACAAGTCAGCCATGACTCTTCAATGGATTAATCTGTGGATGAGTACAGCCTCGTCATGATTCAATCACCTACCAAAAGCCCGCCTCTGAACACATGGGACTTTTGCAGAACATTTTAGATCCAAACCATAACACAGAAGTCACTAAGTTGCTCAGGCATGTCCACCACACTGAGCTTAATGTTATTTTATGGATGCATACACAGGTGGCAAAAATCTAAAGAAAATCGTCATTGAAAAGTCAAACTGCATACTGTGACACATTCCCGCAGTCCCAGCTACTTGGGAGGCTGAAGCAGGACGCTTGCTTGAGCCAACATATTCAAGACCAGTCTGGGCAACATAGGGAAACTTTGTCTCAAAAAAAAAAAAAAAAAAAAAAAATAGAGCCAGGCATGGTGATACATGCCTGTAATCCCAGCTCTCATTACACTGAGGCAGGAGGATCACTGTAAGTTCAAGGCCAGCCTGAACTACATAGCAAGACTGTCTCAGAAAACCAAAATAAATAAATAAATAAATAATGATAACCTGAAGTACTGTGCTGCCAAACACAAAATGTGAGTCACAAAAGCAAGCAGTGTGTGTAATTTTAAACCTTCTACTAGTAGCCAGTCGTGGTGGTACACACCTGTAATCCCAGCACTCGGGAGGCTGAGGCAGGAAGATTGCCATGAGTTCGAGGGCAGCCTGGCCTACCTGGTAAGTTCAAGGCCAACCTGAATTACATACCAAGACCCTGTCTCAAAATTAATTAATTTTCTACTAGCAATATTAAATGAAGTAAAAAGAAACAGGTAAGATTAATATAATATTTTATTTAACCTAATATACTCAAAATATCCTTGCAATATGTAAGCAATGTTAAAAAGTGTTAATGAGATGCTTTACATTCTTTTCACACTGTCTTCAAAATCCACCACGAATTTTACACTTACAGCACATCTCACTTCAGACTACTCACATTTCAGATTCTCAGCGGTCACATGTGGCTGGTGGCTACCATATCGTACAGTCTCACGGCTAGTAGATATGAGTTTCTACAAAGACGTTTCCCACAGAAAGGAGAAATAGGGAAAGATACGTTCAGGGGAACTGGTATGTTATCTTTCTTGACCTGAGCATTGGTTCCATAAGTATACACTTTGTAGGTATTCACTAAACCATATGTTTGAATTTTATGAAATTCTTTAAATGCGTTTTGTTTCACAAAAGAAAAATTGTTATAGCTTGGCATGGTGGCACATGCCTATAATCCCAGCATTCAGGAGGCTGAGGCAGAAAGATTGCCATGAGTTTAAGGACAGCCTGGGCTACACAGTGAGTTCAAGGCTAGCCTGGACTACATGGAAACGCCCTGTTTCAAAACAAAAACAAAAAGTGCCGGGCATGGTGGCATGTACCTGTAATCTCAGCACTCTGGAGGCTGAGGTAGGAGGATCAATGAAAGTTCAAGACCAGCCTGGGCTACAAAGTGAGCTCAAGGCCAGCCTGAACTGCATGGTGAGACCCTGTCTCAAAAATATAAAATATAAAAATGGGGCTGGGATTTAGCTCAGCGGCACAGCACCTGCCTGGCAAGCGCAAGGTCATGAGTTCGATTCCCAGTACTGGAAACCCCCCCCAAAAAAAAAAGATAAAAAAGAAAGAAAAAGAAACAAGAAGTATATTTTACACATTTATCATTATAAACTTGGGCAAGGCGTAATTACTAGAACAAAAGATAACAAACACTAAAACACCTAATACGACTACCTTCCAAATGTTTACACCAATTTCTTACTCTTACCAACAATTATGAATAAAATTTCTCATTACTCTACATTTGTACCAACACTGAGATTTTTACCAGGATATTAAAGTTATGAATAAGGAGATATTTGCAGGCTGGGTTTGATTGTGTATGCCTATCGTCCCAGCACTCAGGAGGCTGAGGCAGGAGGATCACTGCAATTTCAAGGCCAGCCTGGGCTACAAAGTGAGTTTAAAACTGCACAGTCAAACCCTGTCTCAAAAAAAAAAAAAAAAAAAAAAGATATTTGGAGAGTTAGGGTCATTCAATGACTACTTCAAAAAAATACAAGTAGTCTATTCATTATAAATTCTCCTTTAGCATTTGTAGGCATCAGTAATCAGGTGGGTCAGTGGCCTTTCTCATGCCTCTGAAATAGATGGGTGTTTGCATTCTTGCGCTGCCTTGATACCAGCTACTACTACACCAGATACTTCACCCTGGAGCAAGGAAGTGTGTGAAGAGCCTTCCCCTGAAAATGCAAATACTAAACCCTCACACTGACAGGGCTGTTCATATTGTCAGAGTTTCACCTGAGTAGTGATCAAATACAAGGTCTCAGAGCCAAAGATGACCTGATCCCACAGAAAGCAAATCTGTCAATGCTGGCACTAGTCTAAAGTCACATAATCTTATTTCCTCATAGTAAATAGTCTTAGGTGCTTATGATTTATATTAGAGACTCCCCTAATATAATTGTCTTCTGAGACAGATTACCAGCCACATGAAAAGAGAAAAGAGTCGCATTACTCTACCGTCTCTTTCTCCTTTTTCTGTCTGTCTTGTCTCCCCTCACTCCTCCTTCCTTCCACCCCTTTATACTTTCTTAACACTGCTCACCTTAGTTCTGACCTCTCTTGTCTTTCTCTGTTGCAGAATTTAGGAGAATAGAGAGACCACTGGGACAGGAAGGTTTTATTCCAGGATCTTAGATGCACACCGACCCAGTGCACTTTTGTGTGTCCAAAATAGCTAACCACTCTACCAAGGAAAGTCTTTATACATAAAGGAAAGGCTTCATACATATGTACAAAAGAAAGTCTTTATACACTTGGTCAAGGGGGTTGGTCTGAGGCACAGAACTTGTGGGCAGGCAGAAGGAGAGCAAAGGCAGTTTGTTGGGCTGAGACAGTTTTGTGTCTTGGTGGCCCTACTCAGGCATAAGAGGACGTTATGCTAACAGAAGGTTATAAAATTTTACTTACAGGGACAAAAGTTGCCGCTTTTATCTGTATTAGAACAAAGAACAACAGCTGTAGGGAGGAGGAAGTTGGGGAAATGGCTTTCTCTTTTCAAATCCTGCTTCTTCTTTTCAGTTTGAGCCCACAGCTTGAGTTCTAGAGGCTCCACATCCGAGACTCCGCAGGACCTTTACAAGGCGGGGACTCTGGAGACAGATTGGGACCTTCACGACAGAAGGGCTGCGGTGGATAAGCTTAATTGTCAATTTGGTCGGCTTGGGAGCGACCTCAGGCTTAGTATAACACATCACGGAGGTGTGGCCGTGGGTCTATACCTAGTCCCTGGCTTCTTCCTCTCCGGCACTTCCCCTGCTCCGCTTCCTGGGCACCATGAATTGAGCAGCTTTCCTTCTGTTGCGTCCTTCCGCCATGATGTCTATGCCTTGGATTCAGCCAGCCATGGACTGAAACCTTGGAAGCCAAACAAACCTCTCCTTCTTTAAGTGTTGGGTATTGTGTCCCAGCAACAGAAAAGCTGACCAGTGTAAGGACTTACCCAGACACTGACAAGCAGAACTATGAAAACAAGCTTAGGGGCTGGGGATTTAGCTCAGCGGCACAGCAACTGCCTGGCATGCGCGAGGTCCTAAGTTCGATTCGCGGTACCGGAAAAAAAAAAAAAAGAAAGAAAGAAAACAAGCTTAAGTGTTTAATGCGTGTTTTCTGGTAGAAGAAAAAATACAAATACAAGCAACGTGGCACCCTAAGGCAAATCAAGTCGCTCAGGCCTGCCTGTATCTCTCTAAGGAAAGGAGGCACATCCACTGCAGCCGCCAGGGCTCTGCGCTACTCCGAGGCTGTGGACCTCATCCAGGGTCCCAAACTAGCAAAGAATGTGATCAAGAAAAGGCACAGCTGCTACCACAGACACCTTGCCAAGCACACCAAGTTCACCCAGGGCATGAGGCTAGAGTTATGTGGCTTTTCCTTACATGAGCAGCACGCCCGGAGCTGCTTGAGGGCTCCAAGGACAAACAGGCCCTCAAGTTTATCAAGAAAGAAGTGGGGAAGTTATTACAATATTACAAGTTTATCAAGAAAGAAGCTATCCATGCCAAGAAGTGACAGGGCTGAGCCGTGTCCTGGTGCCAAGGAAGACTGTGCATAAAACAAAACTTTTGCCGATAAAGCAAGGAGGGAAGGCAGGAGAGGGCTGTCTCTGTAGAACCTCACACCTCTTGGTATGATCTACCCGTCAGGTATTCCCAGATCCGATCAGAGACTTCCTGAATCAGGATCCTCAAGGATAATCATCCTTGTTGGGAACCACTTAACACAGGGACCCTGAAATGTTCTCTGAAAAAAATGTATATTGTGGCTTCTTTAAAAAAAAAAGAAAAGAAGAAGAAAGGAAAGCGCAGGGCTGGGAATTTAGCTCAGTGGCACAGCGCCTGCCCAGCAAGCGCAAGGTGGTGAGTTTGATTCCTGGTACGGAGTTGTGGGGGAAAGCTGCTTCACTTTCGGGCTAGGGATTTAGCTCAGCAGCACAGCTCCTGCCTGGCAAGCACAAGGTCATGAGTTCAATTCCCAGTACCAGAAAAAAAACAAAACCAAAAAAAAAAAAAAAAAAAGGAAAGCACACAGCTTCCAGTGTAATAGCCCTAAGCATAAATCTGTACTCACACCTGCCCAAACACCCCTTATTAGTATGTGACTCTTTATTAGCCCTTTGTTTATGTATAAGACAAAGATGACTCTGACTATTGGAGGCTAAATTCTGTGTGTAAAACACATAACAGTTCTGGCTGGCAGTGATGGTGCACACCTGTAATCCCAGCACTTGGGAGGCAGAGGCAGGAGGACTGCTGTGAGTTCAAGGCCAGCCTGCACTACATAGTGAGACCCAAAACCATACACACAAAAAAAAAGGCAAAGAAAAGACACATAACAATTCTCACGATACATAGTTATTACAATATTACAATGACTGTAACAAAATGTTAAACTGTCATCCAATTTTTTTGAAATTTTTTTACCTTAAACTTATTATTATATAATTAGGAAAAATAGGGCTACTTCTGCTTTTGTTGTGGGATGACAGCAAATGATACATTTTTGTACTAAATGCCAAAAAGTAGACATGAACATCAGGTTTAGAGTTACTCAGTGGCCCTCAAATACATCACAATGTATCCAGTCCTCCAGGAAAGATCACTTACTTTGTTTCTACTTTTTCCACTATATTAAGCCACATTTTTGATAAATATTCTCAAACTTACAATTTTATACAACTTTCTGTAGCCTAAGAATAGAACTGCTGTATCAAAACGTACATGCCTATTTTGAATATTGGTACATCTTGTTTGGTTTTCGGTTTTTGTTTTTTTAACTTTTTGAGACAGGGTCTCACTGTGAAGTTCAGGCTGGCCTTGAGCTAACTTTGTAGCCCAGGCTGACTTTGAACTTGAAAGGATCCTTCTGCCTCAGGCCTCCTGAGTGCTGGGATTACATGCATGCCCACCACACCCGGCTTCCATTTTGTCATTTTCTAACCTAGTTTACAATGTTATATTTTTAGTTACTAATTAATTAATTCATGTTCACTGCAAAAAAATTCAAGTATAGACTCTAACAGTGGTTTTTAATCCTTTCAAACCTGATTGAAAATCTGATTGCAGTTATAGAAAAGCTTCTTGTAACATTTGTATATCATTTTACAAATAATTTTAGGGGCTTTATTGGCTTGGACACCTAGGAAATTCCACTCTTTTGATTTCAATTATTATCTACCTATGAATCGTATATATCTTAGGCCTAGATTTATTTTCTGACTACCCTATCTCTGTACTCATCAGGATAGTAAATATGACCACTAGTATATTCCACTAACATCGCACTCAATGTGTCAAAAACTGCAATCATTTCCTATTATGTCAAACTGAGATCACTTTCTCCTATGTCAAACCAGATCACCTCCTTGTATTAGTTCATAATGAGTGGAATCCCTAACCCCTCAAAAGGGTCAACCAAGGGTTTGGTCAGCAAGATGGCAGAGCCGCAATGCGAAGTGAGTGGTGTGTCTGGGCTCTCTTTCCCTTTCCACAGCAGCGGTGATCGCTAACCAAAGAGCACCTAGGGTACTCACCCAAGATGCTGCATCTCAAGATCTTGAGCAACTGTTCCCAACGGGATTTATCCCAAAAGATTATTGACCACCTGGACGTGGAGCGAGGCAAGGATTTGACGAAGAAATTTAGCAACCAGGAGACCTATGTGGAACTTGGTGAAAGTACGCTGTGGAAATGTCTACATTGCTCACAGTGGTTGTGGTGAAATCAGCAACAATCTAAAGGAGCTTTTGATTATGGTTAATGTTTGCAAGATTGCTTCAGTCAGCCGGGTTACTGCAGCCATCCTATGCTCCCCTTATGCCCAGCAGGATAAGAAGGATGAAAGCCAGGCTCCCTCTCAGCCAAACTTGTGACAAATCTGCTATCGGTAGCAGGTGCAGCCTGTGTTATCATCATGGAGCTACATGCTTCTCAAATTCAGGGCTTTTTGACATCCCAATGGACAATCTGCCCACAGAGCCAACTGTCCTGAAGTGGCTTAGGGAGAGTATCTCCATCACACCTTTTTGTTGTTGTTGTTTGGTCTTTTTGAGACAGGGTCTCGCTATGCAGTTCAGACTGGCCTTGAGCTCATTTTGTAGCCCAAGCTGGTCTTAAACTTGCAATGATCCTCCTGCCTCAGCCTCCCAAATGCTGGGATTACAGGCGTGCACCACCACACCCAGCCACACCTAACATTGATGGGGCCAAGAGTCCGTACCAGTTGAATGTGGACTTTACCTTGATTTACCAAGAACAAAAGAAGGCCAATGATTTGGACCACATGCTGCTAGCAGGAAGTGTGAAAGATAGGGTGACTATCCTTGTGGATGACATGGCTGACACTTGTGGCACAATCTGCCCTGTGGCTGACAAACTTGTCTCGGCTGGAGTTACCAGGGTTTATGCTGTTTTAACTCGTGGAATCTTCTCTGGCCGAGCCATTTTTCACATCAACAACACATGCTCTGAAGCAGCAGTAGTCACCAATCTCATACCTCAGGGGGACAAGCTGAAGCATTGCTCCAAAGAACAGGTGATCAGCATCTCCAGGATCCTCGCAGAAACCATCAGGAAAACTCACAATGGGGAATCTTTTCCTACCTGTTCAGCCACACCTTTCTAATAGAATAAATTCATTTCTTTCATTTTTTAAAGAGAATAAAAATAATTTTTGCAGGGCATAGTGGTGCACACCAGTAATCCAAGCACTCGGGAGGCTGAGGCAGGAGGATCAGTGCAAGTTCGAGACCAGCCTGGGCTACAAAGTGAGCTCAAGACCAGCCTGAACTGCCTAGTGAGACCTTGTCTCCAAAAGACAAAATAATAACAATAATTTTAAAAACATGATAAGTGATATAGAATTTCACTAAACAAGATGGGAGGAATTCAACAATGGTTGTTACATTGCGTACTGTTGTTTTCAAATTAGTTGTTCAGATTACCAGATATATGCATGCAAAATTGGTATAAATAAATAAATAAATAAATTCTGAAGGTTTTTAAATATGAAATCAATCCCACCCCATGTTTCCCCTTGGCATTCGATGACGAATTCAGTGAAAGACCCCGCCTGCTTAATCTGGGTATATCCACGTCCCACATAGGTCTATTAGCATTTATTCTGTGGAAAGTCAGACTGAGACTGACTGCTGGGATTTCCTACCTGCGCTGTCTCATTCTGGATTCCTTGCTATTGTGAGCCTTGCAGCTTTGACTAGTGCTCAGCTGCTACAGATCTCAGACTTTCAAGATTGTGAAGGCCATGAGTATGGAAGGATTTTAAGTAAGAAAGTGATAACAGATTTGCATTTTGCATTGCCTAGACTTATTTATATGTGAATGCTTTAGGGTTGTTCTTTGTTCAAAACAGTATGTGGGGCCTGGGGATGGAGCTCAGCGGCACAACACCTGCCTAGCAAGCGTGAGGTCGTGAGTTCAATTCCTGGTACCGGAAAAAAAAAAAGTATGCGACAAACTTTCTAAATTTTGTTGTAAAAGCAAGCCTTGAGCAGCCCCAAACCTCGTCCCGGTAGTGCAGCAGCCTGTGAGGCAGGAGCAGGCAGCTGAGCTTGAGCAGCTGTTGGGTGGGATCGTGAAGGTGGGGAGGGGATAATACAGTACAGCAAGTGTTTCTTGGGGGGAAGAAGCCTGATCCATTGTCATCTGCTCGCCTATGTAGCTTTTTGTATTTGTTTTTATATATATTGGGAATTGAACTCAGGACCCTGTGCTTGCCAGGCTGGCACTTGTGCTACTGAGCTATATCCCTGGCCCTTCACCTATGTAGCTTAGATCCTACTTTGTATCTATTCCCATTTCGCTTTACCTACAGGGATTCGAACATTTTCTTGACCAAATATCCCTTTGGGCCCAAGTGCTTATTGTACCATAGTCTTTTGGAACACAAACTTCCTTCCTACTTTATCATCGCTAACATTCACATTAGACAATTTGCTGTAGCTTAGCCTTCCTTCGCCTACTACTACCATAT